AGCAGTGTCATTCCCACATTTCAATGTTCTTATCTCCTTTAGCAAAATTCCTTCTATTCCTGCTTTCTCCTCTACACATTACTAAAACTCCTTTGGAAAAACTTATAAATGATCAACATGTGCCAAATTAAAAAGAATTATTTTCATTTTATTTGGTTTCCTGACAGGCTATCCTTTCATTTGGGAAAAACTTGCATCTAGACTTCTATGTACCACATTCCACTGTTTTTCTCCTACCTCAATGGTTGCTTTCCTACTTTCTTTGATGCATTTTCCTCCAAAACCACCTCTAAACTCAGAGTCTTTCAGGGTTTGATTTTGATCCTTCTCCTCTTGACATATTTTCTTCTTAAATGACCTCATCAATGTATGACGTAAAATAATATGTATATTTTGATGACTCCAGTTTTTATCTAAAATCTAAATAGTGACTCTAAATTCATAAATCTGAAGCATACCTGACATTTCTCTTTTATCTCTTATAGGCATCTTAACACTAATGTATCCTAAATTGAATTCTTGATAATCTCACCAAATTTACTCTTCCTCTGTACTTCTTCCCTCCTATATTAGTGCACAGCACAAAATATCTTCCCAGTTATTCAATCTTAAAACCTAGAATTCATCTTTCATTCATTTTTTACTCATCCACTTCAATCAAATCATCTACAGGTTGTGTCAGTTCAACTCTTAAAAGGTATTTTGAATTCATCAACTTTTCTCTATTCCTACCGCTACTATGGTAGTCCAAGCATTTCTTGCCTGGACTGCTACAATAAGCTCCTAACTTTTGCCCTTTCCTTCCTCCGATTTAGTTTATTCACAACATTGTTCAAGAGATGTGACTTCTGTTTTGGAATGATGAGTTTTACAATCTAGAATCACCTTGGATTATTTTGGAATCCTGAGATCACATAATGCTAGACATAAAAAGATTTATGTATCAAGTAATCTACATCCAACATTAATAAGAATAGTTGAGGTTATGCTAAGTCTAGGTAATAAAAACGTCCCAAATCTCAGTAGACTAAAGCAACAAAGGATTCTTTCATGACCAAACTATACTATCATCATGGGGTGTCTGGGGGTTTTGTTCTGAGCCATCTACATTCCAGGATTCATCCTGATGGAGCCCCCACTGCCTGGAATCTTGCCAGTACCAATAACGACAGAAAGAAAGCTATAGCAAAAACACCCACTGTGTTATTAAAACATTCCCTAAAAGTGACGTACATCATGTTCAATCAATTTCTTTGGCCAAGGCAAGTTGCTTGACCATGTCTAAATCAAAAGGGTGTAGGGAAGTGAAATACTTCCATGTGCCTAAATGGAGAACTAAAAATATTCAGTGAATAGCACTAATGATGAGTTCTCTCTTATATTTTACAAATGAATAAATTAGGACCTAGAGAGACTATGTCAACTGTAAGATCATGAAGCTGATTTATGTCACAGTCAAGACTAAAACTGAGTCTTGTACTCACTGTCCAGTGCTTTTCCTAATAATCAACTGGGAATTGTTTGTTCCTTATCCAGACAAAATATGTTTAAATGTCTTAATATCAATATTTTATTTATTTATTTAACATCAACCTTCTGTATTAAAACATTTTTATACCTTTGCTAAAAAATATGAAGCTTAGAGGCCTTGCTCCTCCAGTCTCATTGATGTTCTAGCAAGATGCCCCAGTGTCAAAGCACTCAAAATCTCTCTGACCTGACTGTTCTCATTTCTAGAAAAACTAAGTCATGTTTTACTCTAGGGATTCTAAACACACTGGCTTAAGAAATGTCAAGGAGATAAGCAAGAGAACTGTGAATCTGTATGTAAATTAAGCACCCTCTGTTAAATCCACTAGAAATGTATTCGCAACAAGAACTCCAATTAACAATAGCTTAGGGAGGGAAGATCTATTTGACCCTCATAACAAGTCTAAAGGTGAATGGCTACTGATGTTGGTTCCATAGGTCAAAGGTATCAGAGCCCATGGATCTCTTGGTCTTTTCCCAAGGACACAGGAGGGCTGTGACTGCTCCATGCATTACACCTATGATCAGTCTAGAAGAATGGGGAAGGTTGGAACCAGATGAGATTGCCCCTTTTATTGGAGAACTAAAAACTTTCCCAAGATTAATAATCCACCCCTTATTCTAAAGGTCCTATTTGCCAGGACCGGGGTTACATGGCCAACCCTAGCAGAAAGGGAGATTGAAAAAAATAGGAAAAAAGATTATCATTGATTGGCCAAGCCTAATGCTGCCTTGAACAAGAGAAGGGTTCTGTTGACAAAGAATAGCATGGGGGTAGGAGGCGGTAAAAATGAAGACTAAGTAAGCAACCAACAGTGTCTACCTGATTCCCTGATTGAATAGAAGATTGTTTTGAGAGAATTTATCTACTGTTCTTAAATTTTACATTCAAAATAATGTGAATAAATAAAATATATATTTACCATTGAACTCATAGTAGCTATGTTATGTATCTTCATAATTGGTGAAATTAAAAAACATAATCAGGTGCTGCACAATGATGTTTTAGCCATTGATGGACTGCATATACAATGGTGGTCTCATAATATTATAATACCATACTTTTATTGTACTTTTCTATGTTTAAATATGTTTAGAGTTACAAATATTTACCATTGCATTACAATAGCCTACGGTACTCAGTACAGTAACAGGTTTATAGCCCAGGAGCAATAGGCAGTACCATATAGCCTAGATGTGTAGTAGGCTATACCCTTTAGGTGTGCGTAAATACATTCCATGATGTCCACACAATGACAAAATTGCCTAATAATACTTTCCTCAGAATGTATCCTTGTTGTTAAACAATACAGGATGGTATAATGAAGCTACTTTAAAAAAATATATATTCCATAATGTTCACACAATGACAAAATAGCGTAATGATGCTTTTCTCAGAATGTATCCTTGTTATTAAACAATATAGAGTTGTATAATGAAGCTACTACAATAAGTTCTGCTATAACACTTGTGTTGAAAATACAAATTTATTCCAACAATTTTGAAATGTTAGGGAAGTGTTTGAATATAACATAATTTCGCATTTGTTTGTGTGCGATTTTGTCTACTTGAAACACTAGTCGAATGCAGAAAACTACCCAGATGACCTGAGCCACATAAGAATGCACAAAACTCACACAGGTACGCTCCTCAAACATTACCAGTGACCTCAGTTCACTGCCTGAGTTATGAGCCACACCCATCCACATCTGTTGTAACAAAATTCCCTCTGATTTCAAATAATGCTTCTTTTGCCATTTCACAACCCATAAGCTGTGACCTTTCTGAGGCCCATTTCCACAAGTAATGCCATGTCTTTTTCAAGATAAAGGGTTATATTTGCTGTAGTATTTATGCATTTCTTAAGCATTTATCATGTGTAAATTTATGCTACCATTTTTATTAGGTCTTGATCTGCTTTGTATGGTCCATTGGCAAAGTTTCTGAGTGCTGTGTCCTAAACCTCACGTTACGCATTAAGTCGTGTAGTTTTAATTGCACATTTTTTCAGTGGCACTATATCTAAATAAATCCCTGGTAGCTACCAGGCAAATATAAATAAGTGTGTATATGCATACATACATTCAAACATATATAATATTAGAACACAACTGAGGCATTTTGACATAAATCCAAAAAAATCCTTTTATATTTTAGAGGTAAATATGCCTTTAAAAGTATTTATTAAATGTACTTGGGAGGATTTATTCAAAAAAGACTATCAATTATATGAAATAAAAGCCATTCAATACGCCAAGCTATATATAGATGTCTCCTTAATGGGTGAAGATTTGTCATTTATCTTTTAAGATAATTATGTAAATTATATTCAGCCCACACATCCTGAGCTGCGAAATGACTTTTATATCTTTCTCCTCATTTATAAATCTTTCCTAACAGAAGTTCTGCAAGATTCAGACTGGTCAGCACACAGCTGGATTTTGGTGGTCCCTTTACAATAGGAGAGAATCCATGTTCCTCCTTAGGGCCTTTCTTTTCCTTAATGAAGAAGGCATACAGAGCACTCAGTACATTCCCAGAGCTTCTTAGAATTCCTCCCTTGAGAGATCTCAGGAAATATGAGGAAAAACAACTTCAAAAAAAAAAAAATTAATGAAAGGCCTATCACTGTTCGCCATTCTCTCTTTCAACAGCTGCCCTATCCTTTCTACTTTCTAGAAGTGTAGTGCCTCTTCAGTTTCAAACATTTTTCCTCTTCTTATATTCCCAAGGTGAGATGCCCTTTTCTGGGACTACACCTATGAAAGGGACAGGGAAAAGATCTTATAGAAATTGAACCCTGACACGGGGCTTATTTTCCTAAGGACCAGAACATAGAAGGACAGGGTGGGACCATGGAAGGATTAATTTCAGGCAAGGGCAGCCTGTGGAGAGTGAGAAATCTGAAAAGGCTCTAGGCCTCTGTGGGCATTCCCCTCCACTTCTTTTGCCTGCTGCCAGATGACTCTCACGTGTGAATCCTTATTTCCTCAGGAATGCGGATCAGGGTTTGGCAAGTATGTTTTTAAAAAATAATTGTTGAATGTTCAATGTTCACAGGAAGAAGCATAATTTCGAGTGTGCACAGTAATCACTGAAAATGATTCTGTACTCACTGTTAGGATGCAAATGCAAATTCGTATAGCCCTTGCACTGACTCCGTGGGTCACCTGTGAGTAACTCTAGCCAAAAACCACGCACAAGCCCCAGTCTGCTTCCAGGCAGCAGACCACAACATAGTGTCCTGAGCGCACCTGCACACACCCATGGGCACACATTAAACCCATAAACGGCGGGTTATGCTAACGTGTACTTCCTTCCTCACTGCCTCACCTTGTTCACTTTCCTTTTTCCCCACCCCTCACCCCACACAATGGGATGTTTGTTTGCTTCAGTAGCATGTGACAGCGGAGTCCCTGCTTTGCCTAGCTCTGTGCTGCAAGTCTCTCAGGTAACAGGTGGCAGCTTCCCCTGTTGGATTCTAGGTTTAAAAAAGAATGACCTCATGTGGGTGGAGCTCTGGGACTTCGTAGAGGTGGTGGCAGTCACAGCCAGGTAACCCTGGAGTGAAGCAGTTTAGTTAGAAGGGGGCAGATAAACTCGTCATTCTAGTGGCTTTAACCCTCACCCTGAGGCGCCTTAGCAACCAGTCATTGCCTGCAAGCCTCTAAAGCTTGTCTTTGCCTCATATGGAGCCCAAAGAAGCCACTGGGAAAGAAAACATGGTCACCAAGAAAAAGAATCTGGCCTTCCTGAGGTCCAGACTCTATATGTTGGAGAGAAGGAAGACTGACACTGTGGTTGACAGCAGTGTTTCTGGGGACCACTCTGGCACCTTGAGGAGGAGCCAATCTGACAGGACCGAATACAACCAGAAATTACAAGGTAACCAAAAAGAAATCAATTGTCCCAGTTACTGCACTCCCTGCTCCATTTCTGCTACGTTTCCATTTGCAAAGAAAACACACAAGGCAGAGGAGAAAATCAAATACCACCTCTCCTTCCCACAAAATAAGAAGATGAAAGTAAATGTGACCTGTAAATTATAGGAAAAAATTTTTATCATGTGATTCAATGTTAAAGAGTCAATTCTCAATTACTCTTAATATTGCTGGGGTGTTCTCTTTTTTTCCTGGTGAGGGTAATCATTTTTCTTCTACCTTCTTCTTTTCTTCTCCCTTCCCTACCCAACTTAAGAAGTGGGAAACACTAGAAAGCAAATAATTTAGAAACCTACAAAAGATTGTTTATCTCAATGAGTAGATATGTGATATTACACCATGAGATCTATCTAGGTAATTATACTGAACTGTGATTGTGGTTATCTTAAATAGGGGCATGAAACTATAATCGTGTCTATGAAAAAGAAGGAATGTTATAGTCAGAGAGATGGTATAACAAGATTTGCTGAAATTCACTTAGGTGATCATTTCCTTTGAGTAAATTGAATAATACTCAAATATGGTAAGAAATGTTTAGGAGGCTTATTTTGAATGATATTTGAGGAAATAACTTCAGTTTATTTTGTGATGGTACTAAGATAATTTGGCACAGTTATAATAGCACATCGTGTGTTTCAGGGCCTTAATCTATATCCTGTCCTGTCTATCCTTTCTTTCTCTCCTCTGTTTCCTGAAGGTCATTTTTTTCTAGTAAAACTTCATTTTGATGTTGATATTGGGCAGTATTTTATGTCTTCTCTTCAGTACCTGTTATGTGGTCCTCCAGAAATTGCCTCTCCTGCTTTTAGCACAACGTGTGTTTGAACTCTCATCATCTCACTGTGAGCTGTCGTTTTGTATTTAAAAACTATGATGAGGTCAGAAAGACCGACAGGACATGCTTATATTTAACAAATCTCTTTCCACAAATATGAGCTTAGATTTAGTTATGCAAATTAATTAAGTTAAATAAGTTACATTAAGTGCATTTAAATTAAATCTAAAAATTATTACTATAAGTTAATATTTAAAAATAAAGTACTGGTAGTTCAGGACTAAAGCACAGCATCAAACTTATCCTCAAATACTTTTTTTTTTTTTAATGAGGGAGAGTGTTGTTTAATCTTTGAGATTAATTTTTCTCAAGGCAATGGATACATTGGAAAGAATGGATGTCTTAAAATTTCAACTTTTATTTTAGATTCAGGGGGTATATGTATGTGTTTGTTACATGAGTATTTTGTGTGATGCTGCGGTTTGGGGTACAAATGATCTCATCACCTGGGTACTGAGCATAGTACCCAGTAGGTAGTTTTTCAGCCCTTGCCTTTCTCCCCACTCCAGTAGTCTCCAGTATCTATTGTTGCCACCTTTATGTCCATGTAAGTCTAATGTTGCCACCTTTATGTCCATGTTAGCTCTCACTCATAAGTGAGAACATGCAGTATTTGGTTTTCTGTTCTGGCATTAATTTGCTTAGGATGATGACCTCCAGTTGTATCCATGTTGCTGCAAAGGATATGATTTTGTTCTTTCTTATGGCTATGTAGTATTCCATGATGAATAGGTACCACGAGAATTTAAAATCATACTCATTTAGTTTCTAATCCTGGTTCTTCAACTTACTACCAAATAGAACTTCAGCAAATTACTTTAAATATCTGAGCCTAAATTTTCCTGTCTGTGAAAGTGGGACTAATGATACTTGCCACATAATGTTGTTGGGAGATTGAAATTAGATAATTACATAAAACATCTAGTATACTGGCCGACAAATTTTAGGAATAATGGCTACCATAATGATAAAACAGAACTTGCCCAATATTAATCGAAGTTTGTATACCTTATTTCTCTTTTTCAATTATTTCTTGTCCTTTGATAAAGAGACCACGTCTAAAATTCAGGAAAAGCCCATTGCTTTATCCCTAATGACATGTTTTTTCTATCTGAGTTTCACTAATCAGCATCTATCAGAGTCTCTATTAGCAAAATGAAAATAGAAAATAATTTTTGCTACTGACAAATTTTTGCTTACTACATTTACCTAAAAAAATAAGTCTATGACCACACAATAGAGCAGACATGGGTTGGTTACTTTGCAGAAGACCTCAGGCTTCTTACGCACTTCATTTGATTTGTGGCTTTCCTGTGCTCTGTTGGAGTCTTTGAAGGTGGAAGGCAAAACTCAGGAGTTAACACATACTTCTAGTCTGTGCTTGAGAAAAATCACCAAGAACTATAGAGGAGCACATAAGCCATAAAGATAGACTGGCCTCCTGATAAGTAACATTTTAAAAATGTAACCCCTAAAAAAATCCAAGTCTGATTATTGAATGCCTAATAGAGCTTTTAGCATGGTTCGACTAGAACAGCTTTGGCAACAAGGGAAGGCATTTTCTCATTAATGTTCAAAGCAATCAGTTCTGTGTGTTTGTTCTGTGGCCTGTACAATACCCATTATTATGCAGATGAGTCCTAAATCACCTTAAGAAACTCTTTATTATTCAAATGTGAGGGCTTTTCCTTCCCCTTTCTTGGAACTGGTAGTCCCTGGGAGGCACTGAATAAACACCTGGAATGGTTAGAGCCCTCGGATAGATGGCCTAAAGCTCTTGTGAGGTCAAAGAGTGCTTTCAAATACTGGAATTTCTGGCAACACCACATTCCTCAAATTATTTAGCTGGTTATTTGATTAGTTATTTAATTGGTTGTCCTTCAATGCTATATTACTTGAGTAAAATTCACTGTCCTAACTCTCTGGGGAAGCAAGTTCTCTGGGTTCTGGAAAATGTAAGATCTTTCTCTGGCGTTCTTGAGCTTGTCTTTTAACTCATAATACATAGTCTATCTGCTCAATTCAATTTCTCACATCACTTTAATAGCATGAAACTTAAGTTGTGATAACAATTTTTAAAATGGTACGCTGGCTGAATTAAAATGATAGAATATGGCTCCAACGAGGACATACTAAAATCTTTGCAGAAGATTGTGATCACATCAACATAGTCATTCCTACTACGCCTCGAGTCGTACAATAATAGAAAGGCTACCCTTAGGCTCCTTTACTCCTCGAACAGATTAATTCAGTTGACTAGCATTTATTGAATATGTTATACCTTGTTCTTTGAAATTAATTTTTCTCAAGGCCCTTGATACATTGGAAAGAATACAAATTATAAAATCATACACGTTTGGTAAATTGACATTTATTGAATGTTTTATATGCTGTGTCTTGAGGGTTAAAATGAAGAGGAAAAACAGAATATGTGCCAGGAATTACAACTACAAAATCATTAAGAAAACATGTCTGACCTTTACTCCAAAGAGGCTCAAAGTCTGGTTGGGAAAGATAAGACAGGTAAACAAATAAATGCAATAAAGTAGCACGATAGAAGTGGAGGTGGGATCAGTGCGTCCACAAAAGGAGGAAACGGTCTATTCAGGACTGCATGAAGGAGGTTGTCAGAAAATGGTGTTTCTAAGGGATGATAAGGATAGGGATGAGGGAAGGTACAGGAAAGAGAAGGACACTTTAACCTCTTCACTGGATTTAGCTGTGTCTGAAATAGTTTTTGTTTCCTTGTTTATCACCTGTTATTGACTGTCGTTCCCCTCCCTTTTCTCTCCCTCCTCTCCCATACACCATGAAAGAAACCCTATCTGTCTTGTTAACTGTTTCATCTCAGCAGCCCAGAATACAGTAAACACTCAGTAACTGTTAAATAGAATGAATGACTTGAATGATCAGGCCCAAGCAGGAAACTGCTGTGAAGAAAGGCACCAAGGCCTGAAATAAGAGCCACAGTATGTATCTAAATATGTAGGGACACATGTTTCTATCAGAAAGATGATTCTTCAGTTAAATGAACATCAGAGATTAAAATGTACAGAATTTGTATAATAAGTAATTCCCAGTGGAAGCCTGTTTCATTCCCAACTCGACCTTTCAGAGCATACAACAACCATATTTCAAGTATTCCTCTTCTATTTGTAACAAGAGCCAACTTAGCTTCCACTAGCTCAATTCCTCATTTCCATTCTACTGGGGGCCGTAGAAATTACCTAAATACAAGAAATTTAGTGGTTGAGTTGTAAAAACTCAGAAAGGGTTTCATAAATACTTATATACATGACCTCTATATTTGAAATATGCCTAATTTAAATAGTTATACAGAAGTGTGTATGTGCATATGCAGGTGTGTGTGTGTGTGTATATATATATCCAGTATGTAGATATAGATATACATATATGTACATGTATGTGTTCATGTGTGTACTTGAGACACTTTTTTTTGCAATGATTAGACTTTTTATTGAAAGTTACTGTAAAATTTAAAGAACAAAAAGAACAAAAGTTTACTAACGTTCAGGAGTCTTTTCTGAAAACCATATATGACTTATGTCACTGACATTATAGGTTTCCTCTCAGTATGGCTACTATGGACTGAATGTTTGTGTTCCTCTAAAATTCCTATGTGAAACCTAATCCCCAATGTGACAGTATTAGGAGGTGGGGTCTTTGGGAGGTAATTAGGTATTGAGGGTGAAGCTTTTGTGAATGGGATTAGTGTCCCTTAAAAAAAAAAAAACACACAAGAGAGAGCTTGCTTCTCTCTGCTCTCAGCCATGTCAGGATACAAGAAGGTGGCTATGTGCAAACCAGGAAGTGGGCTCTCAGCAGGAATAAGATCTGCTGCGTTAGGAACAAGATCAACTTGATTCTGGATTTTCCAGCCTCCACAACTGTGAAAAATAAATGTTTGGTAAACTTAAGCCACCCAGTCTCCAATAATATTTGTTATAGCAACCCAAACCAACCAAGACGGGTCGATTACCTTTATCCTCTATGGCCACACTAAACTTCTGTTTAATTTTCTGGCCAATGCATATTTTTGTTTATCCAACACCAGATGAAAAGGTGAGAATATATGGGTAAAATGCTAT